GGTTCATTCTTAACGCTTTTCCATACAATATGCCTCAGGGTCACACTATTCCCTCCTTTTCTTACAATTAAATAAATTTTATTTGCATTATCCATCCTCATTGCCACTTTTTTACAGTCAACTGAAAGTTAACATAAGCATAATGTTTCCAAACATCCATCTCTAATTCATGTTGTTGCAATGACCATAAGGGCACAAGGGCAATCTTACTTTGTATATTAGTTATCTATTGCTATGTAATAAATTAATTCAGAACTTAAAACAATGAATAACAATAAATAATAAGATAAGAAGATTTCACATTTTTGCAGGTTGGGAGTTCAGGAATCCTGAATGGGTGATGACTCTGACTTAGACTCTATCATGAGGTTGCAGTCATCTGAAGTTTATTTCTCAAAGTCTGGCTAGTGCCAGAGGATCTGCTTCTAAGCTAATCTGTGGCTCTTACCAAGACACTTTTATTCCTTGCTGGCTGTTGGCTGCTGGTCTCAGTTATTTGCCATATGAACCTCTCCATAGAGGCTCTTGAATACACTTACAACATGGCAGCCCAAGTGATCCAAGGGAGAAGGAGGTAAGAGGAAGCACAATGCCTTTGTGTGATTTCATCTTGTATGTGACATGCAGCACTTCTACCACATTTTATTCCTTAGAAGTGAGTCACTAAACTCAGCCCACATTCCAGAGGAGGAAAATAAGTCTCCACCTTTTGAAGGGAGGAGTCTGCTTTCTGACAAAAAGATTTTTCCACATGGGAAACGTTCCCTTCCTTCCAAGAGCACCCAAAGTCTCATCTCTTTAGAACATCAGCATAAAATCCAGAATGTTAATGTATAAATTCATGCAGGTGTGGGTGAGACTCCTTGGACATAGTTTCTTAAATAGAGCATCCCAAGACCAGTTTCTTTTAATCTGAAGACCTATGAGTAAAAACAGTAAGTAATTACTCCTGCATACTCAAAATACAATGGTGGAACAGGCAAAGCAAAACCACCACAGATATTCATGTTCAAAAGAGGAGGAGTGAAGACACAAAGGTATCTGTAGCAATTTCAAAATGCAGACAGCCAAACGGAGGAGGCTCCTTGGTTAGGATGCAGTGCCTGGAAATAATTCCCTTTGGCTCTTGACTCCACCCTGTAGGCAATTCTACCTGCTGAGTCATCCTTGCTTTTTTAGGGAAGATCATATGTGCTCACAGTGGAATAGATAATAATAAAAAATAATAAATAAATTTCTCAGCTTACTTGCTACTTGTAATACTATGGAGATTCAAAAACTTCTCTTGGTAGTAACCATCTCCTTTCCGTTCAAGATCACAGTGTTTCTGCCAATACAATGTTATAAGAAATTTTGTTGGTTCCCTGTGAATCTTACTGAGTCTTACTATTAGACCAGAAGCCACATCCACAACTCTCCTTATGGATTTCCATATTATTTGAGAGATCTGCCAAGAATACTCTTAGAATATTTAGGTGACTTTTTGCCTAATTGGAAGGTATGCTGAGGCATCTGAAAGGTCTTTCTATTAAGGGATTTCATAGTCAAAACTTGGGTTTCATGTTTAAGCATGCTTTTCTGAGAGTGCCTGAACTTGGTCTCTATTTGAAGACCACGTATTTATTTTAGTGAAGTTGGCTATCTGAAGAGTTTGGAAATTTTTAAAGAACCATCAAGTCCTGGTTCTCCTATGTTAAATTGTCTTTCCTTTAGCTCTTCTTGCTTTTCTCACATTTCAGTATAACATAAAGGCATAAAATAGTTTTAATTTTTTTTAAAAAGAAGATTCATTCATTTATTTAAAAGGTAGAGTTACAGAGAGGAGAACAGAGAGAGCAAGATCACCCATCCACAGATTTCCTCCCAGGATGGCCACAATGACCCTGGAGGGGTGGGCCAAACCAAAGCCAGGAGTCCAGAACTCCCTCTGGGTCTCCCATGGAGGTGGCAGGAGCCGGAGCACTTGGGCCATCCTGTGCTGCTTTCCAGGCAAATTATCAGGGATCTGGATCAGAAGCAGAGCAGATGCATAAACTGGTACCCATATGGGATGCAGACCTCACAGGCCACAGCTTAATCTGCTGTGCCAAAGTGCTGGCCCCTGTTTTTGATATCTGTCAGTCTTCATTTTATGGCTTTGGGATTTGTTGAGTTAGGATTTAAAGATTATAAGATTTCTCCTATTTTTTTCTATTACCTTTATAGTTTTGTTTTTGAATTGGATACTTGACTGCAGATTATTTGTATTTTAGTGCACAGTTGAAGTAAAGCTCTCATTTTCCCCCAAAGAGTTAGCTCAGCATCAAAATGCCATAAAAGGAATGGACGGTTCTTTCTTCACTGGTTTAAAATGCTTTGTATACTTTATTGCAAAATCTCACAAAGCTGTATAGCTCTTTTGCAGCTCTTTATTCTATTCTTTTTGTTTGCCTCTCTCTTCCTGGGCCAGTTGCTATGCTGCAACTGTTTAAATCATTATTATTTCAAATTATGCTTTGATTTCTTGAAAGGAATGCACGTGCATTGTGCTGGTATTCATAAGATTTTTTGGTGCTTATATAATTTTTCCTTTCACATCAACTTGACTGCCAATACCCAAAAATACTGTTAGCTGTTAGTTGGGATTGCATTGACATTGATTAAATTCAGAGAGAACTGACATCTTTGTCACAGTAGATCTTCCCACTTAGAAATACTTTCTCTTATTTTGTAAAATTATTTCATGCTTGACACCCAAGTCTTACAGTCCACTTTACAAGGATCTTCCTTGTTTGTTGGGCATGTTCTTGGTCCTTTCATTCTTTTTGTTGCTGCATAAAAGGATGAAATAGAGCTTTAGGTGTTGGCCTGCAGTGATGTTTCCACTTGCTGTTCACCCCACCACCCCCACACCTTCCACCCCAGCCAGCTGTGGGAACACAGCTGCCAAAGTCATCTTTGTAAAACATAAAACTATGTGACAGGATCTTCAACATGATCCAATCAGTGTGGTAGAATTGGGCACCACCTACCTCTCTGCCCACAGCACTGCTGCCCCCAAGTGCCCTGCACCAGGTGCAGACTGCTGTTACCTGAATCCACAGAGCCTTCTACCCTTCACAGCATGACCTAAGGTCATAGCAAAGTGGGAAGGGAGGAGAACCAGGAGGGCCTAACACTGCTGTAAGCTAAGCACCTTCATTGACTCGTGGATCAGCTGACAAAACCTCGCCATGACCAGAAGTTAATCATGCTCCTCTGAGTGGCCTTCTGCATGAGGCCTCGACTGTGGCCCCCACCTTACTGGGCCCACGTAGCTCACTTTTAGCAAGAATCCTCACAAGTCAGTTTAGCAAGAATCTTCCACTCCTGATATTTCATCACTTAACATCTGATCAAATTTCTCATGCCCTACTCTTGGTATCTTTTATCCTGACCTCCCTTTAGCAAGAATCACCTACCCTGGATGGCTCCTCTTAGTAATTCTCATCCTCACTCTGCCATTTTGCTATAAGTCTCCAACTGTGTGCAGTATTCAGAATGGAGCCCAATCTTTCATCTCTACTGCAATAATCTTGATACCTACTAGAACAGTCCTGAATAGAATCTTCCTTACTATTTGAACAAGTGTCAGAATAATTTTTTTCTCTTTTTTTAGAGATTTATTTTATTTGTTTGAAAACCAGTGTGTGTGGGGTGGGGGAGGGTGGCTCAAGAGAGAAGAGAAAGAAATCTTCCATCCACTGGTTCATTCTCCAAATGGTTGCAATGCTTGGGATCTGGACCAGGCCAAGCCATGGGCCAGAAACTCTGAGTCTCCCACATGGGTGCCGGAGCCCAAGTACCTGAACCATCTTCTGCTGCTTTCTCAGGCACATTAGCAGGGAGCTGGGTCAGAAGCAGAGTAGCTGGGACACTAACTGGGGCTCCGATATGGGTGCCAGCTTCACTAAAGGCAGCTTAACCTGCTGTTGCCACCACGCCAGCTCCAGAATAATTTTTTCCTTAACACAGCTCATTTAAACATTATTTGGGGAGAGAAGACATTAGGAAATGTATCACATTTCAAACTCAGTTTATAGGTAGATAACTTATCAGTCATTGAAGGATGAGTTGAAAAGAATAAAACTTGTTACAGCTTATTTTAGTAGAAATTAATTGGCTGGCGCCACGGCTTAATAGGCTAATCCTCCACCTGCGGTGCCGGCACACCAGGTTCTAGTGCCGGTCGGGGCGCCGGATTCTTTCCCAGTTGCCCCTCTTCCAGGCCAGCTCTCTGCTGTGGCCCGGGAGTGCAGTGGAGGATGGCCCAAGTGCTGGGCCCTGCACCCCATGGGAGACCAGGAGAAGCACCTGGCTCCGGGCTTCGGATCAGCGCGGTGCGCCGGCTGCAGCGCACCAGCCATGGCGGCCATTGGAGGGTGAACCAACAGCAAAAGGAAGACCTTTCTCTCTCTCTCTCTCACTGTCCACTCTGCCTGTCAAAAAAAATAGAAAGAAAGAAATTAATTAACTACAGGATATAAAATGGCTCATAGAATCTTCGTGAGAGCTGAGGAACTTGACTCATGGCTGAAACTTCTGTCTTGACTAGGAAGTCACATGTTGGATGGAGGAAGCTTTGCTTGCTGTAGCCGCTAACACTAGAATCACACCACTTTCGCTACAAGCTGCCCTCTGTCTTTACTTAACTCATTTCTGAATTCAAGTCTTCTGTGATTGCATCTGGAGAGCCAACACTAAAGAACAGGAAACCCTGGCAGCAAGGGGTTCTGGGAAATGTAGTTTCCAGCTCTGCTCTACAGGATAACACAGGAGGAGCTGAGATGGATGGATGCTGAGTGAGCCCATTCACTGACATAATGGAAGGTGATACAATTAATTGAGATGGGTGGACAGCCTAAGAGCTGGTCAGACAAGTGATCCAGCCTAACTTCTGAGGAAGGGAGGACAATCTGGTGAGGAAGGAACTAGCTCCTGATGCTGTAGTCGTATTTTCCCTCTGATATTTTGTCTCCTAGAAGAGCCATCACCATATGGAAAAATGAGTGAGTTCTGTCACTGCAATCACGAAAACCAAGACTGAGTCCCCTTTGGGATGGGAGTGCTAAACTGGGCTCTCCCATAAGAGAAGAAAAGAGTGTACAGGTAAATATACCCTGGCGATGGGTAAGCATTTCTTCTTGCTTTGCTACGATTAGCTATGGAAGCGGCTCTCCCTTGGTTCTATTAAACATTGCCACCTTGTGGGAATCCATGTGCTATTATTCTCCAACACTTTGCCTTCCTCTATGGGTGAACAGTGCTTACATAATTTGGAGTATTCATTTGATCTATTAATGTAGACTGAGCATCAAGATGTTAAGAAGAAAAACATTTGAATCCACCTGGGACAATATTGGTGACCAAAGGCTGCTGTGATGCCGCAGAATATAAAGATCCAGAAGAGGCCAGCGCCGCGGCTCAATAGGCTAATCCTCCACCTGCGGTGCCGGCACACCGGGTTCTAGTCCCGGTCAGGGCGCCAGATTCTGTCTGGTTGCTCCTCTTCCTGTCCAGCTCTCTGCTATGGCCCGGGAGTGCAGTGGAGGACGGCCCAAGTCCTTGGGCCCTGCACCCCATGGGAGACCAGGAGAAGCACCTGGCTTCGGATCAGCGCAGTGCACTGGCTGCAGCGGCCATTGGAGGGTGAACCAACGGAATAAAAAGGAAGACCTTTCTCTCTCTCTCTCTCACTGTCCACTCTGCCTGTCAAAAAAATTTTAAAAAGATCCAGAAGAAACCTAATTTCTAAGACTTCAAATAACAAAACTCTCTAGACTTGGGGCAAAGGTCATGTTGGTAACTGTGTATCTCCTATCCTTCCTAAAAATGTCCCTTCCTTCATCAAGCTTCTTCCCTCCTCATTTTGCCTGGAGGGCAGGGGGTGGTAGAGGAAGCTGACCTGGGAGGAACTGGGAGCTTAATCAGATTTCATCAATGAACAAGGGAGTATAAGAAAGCACCCTCAGGTGGGCAGAAATGCACTAGAGACGCAGTCCCAGTGCAGGGTGTGGTAAGTGTGGGGAGCAACTGGGAGCAACTCGGACTAGACTAAGTTACTGGAATTAAGACTTATTCTATGCATCTGCTCTCCCCCAATATGGCGCTGGGAGAGGAGAAAACAGCTTCTACGCAGCTGCCTCTTGCCAACTTGAGTGATGACCTCCAGGAGCTGATCCTGCTCCTGATTGGAGGAGAGCAGCGTACTCGGCCTGTGGGCAGCCGAGTTGGGATTGGCAGAAGAGGACTATAAAGGAGGAGAGAGACAACATGCACCAGGAACATCTAAGGGGAACATCTGAAGGATACCTGTGCAGCCCCCGAGAGAGCCGGCCGGCGGTGTGCCGCTCCCCCACGGAAGTGGGGAATGTGGCAGGGGGAACCGCCCTTCCACTGAGGTGGAAGGGACGGTAGCCAACCCGGGAAGAACCAGCAGCAAACCCGGGGAGGGCCGAGCAGACAAAAGAACAGCGCAGGGTCCTGTGTCGTTCCTCCACGAAGACGGGGAGCGACAGTAGGAGGGCATTGCTGTCCGACCTGCATGTCCACCTGCCCTGCTCTTCCGCGGGAAGAGGGCCACAGAGAGGAGCGTAGTTTAGGAGGGGTCAGGAGTTGGCATTCAGTTCTGTTCCCTGTCAGAGGCATTGAGAAATTAGGAGCAGCAAGAGATTTCCTTACAAAATGTGAGCTTGACTCCAGGTCACAGAATGAGTGTTCACTTCCGGCCAGCACTTGCAGGCGTCAGGCACGGTCCAAGTGCCCTGGGTAATGTTCGCATGAAGATCTGTGGTGTGCAGTGGACCAGCTAGCTCAACTGGAGGCCTTCAGGAAGGAAGAGGAGCTGCTTTCTTTTGGCTGTAGATGTGCTGGTAGCAGAGGGAGCCCCACTGGAGCTCGTGTGCATACCCTAAAGGGCCTGCAGCTTGTGCCACAAGCAAGGAGGTAAGGGGGGGACATGGTGAGGGTTTAGCAAATCCTGAGGCCAGAGAGAGGTAGGGCTGGGGGGGGTATTGCCAGAGAATATGTCTCACTTACATCAGGATGGCAGGCAGCAGCCTTGGCGGAAGCAAACCACGTGAACCTCATCAGCCCAAACCCCATGAGCCAGAGAAACAGGAAGAACTACCAACAAAGGAATGGTCACTTCCTGTTCTCACCAAGGTACCAGACTGTATGTGAGCAGAAAATTCGTTCCTAGAATTTGCCAAGGAATCTTCCAGTAGAACAAAATAGATGAGGCCTGGACTGTGGTACAGCAGTTAAGCCCCAGCCTGTGAGGCCAGCATCCTACATGGGCACTGGGTTAAGGTCCCAGCTGCTCCACCTCCAATAAAGCACCTTGCTAATGGGCCTGGGAAAGCAGCAGAAGATGGCCTGAGTGCTTGGGCACCTGTACCCATGTGGGAGTCCCGGATGAAGCTCCTGGTTCCTGGCTTCAGCCTGGCCCAGCCCTAGCTGTTGTAGCCAGGAGTGAACCTGCAGTGGAGGCTCGCTCTCTCTCTCTCTCTCTCTCTTGCAAATATAAATAAATCTTCAAGAAAGAAAAAGAATCTGAAAACCTGGAAGCATCTCAGCTCTCACCAGGTCCAGGGGTTTTTAGTTTTTAACCCGTTTGTGCATCAGGCTCACCTTAGGAGTTTCATCAAAAATATCACTGCCTGGGTTCTAGCCTGGATCTATGAAGAATCAGCAGGTGCAAGGCAAGGATTTATTAATATTGTTACTGTAGTTGTGTTCAGTACAACTGACATCCCACACACTGCATCTATTTAAAGTGGACAAATTGGTAAGGTTTATGCATATACCAACCGAATCATTAGCACAACCAAAATAATGGGCATATCCATCACCCTCCCCTGACAATGTTTCTCTGGGTCTGCTTCCAAACCCTCTCTCACACCCTTCCCTCCCCTCCCTGCTGCACCCCACTAGCCTCACCTCCCATCCAGACAACTGTGGATCTGCTGTATCACCACAGGTTAGTTTGCATTTTGTAAAATTTTATAGAGCTAGAATCACAGTGTGTTCTCTTTTCTTGGTCTGGTTTCTTTTACTTAGCAAAACTGTTCTGAAATTCATGCGTGTTGTGGTGTGATCAATGGCCCACTCCTGTTTATTGCTGGGTGGTGTTCCTTGTATGGAATTCATTTACTCTTTTACCCATGGATGGCCACTGGGGCTGGAGCAGTACTCCAGGAGTTCAGTGAGATGAGACCACATCTGGACAAGGTGGATGAGGAAATGCCTGTTTCTACTGCTCCTGGGGCACTGCTGTGGTGACGCTCTAGTGGCACAGCTTATCCTTTGTTATACCTGCTATCTTGCCATCACTGTTTCTGTGTACCACCCTAGCCCTTGAGGACAGCAAAAATGTGTCTTCTAGTTTTTTATTTCTTATAGTATTGCACACAGGCAGTTCTTGTTAACTGGACTCTGACATTGCATCCCCAGCTACCTGCCCATTCTTCTTTTCCCCAGTCCTTTTCTTATTTGCCCAAGTTTAATGAGTTATATACTGTTAACTTTTTTTTAAGATTTATTTATTGGGGCCGGTGCTGTGGCATAGTGGGTAAGCTTCCACCTGCAGTGCCGGTATCTCATACGGGTGCCAGTTCAAGTCCCAGTTGCTCCACTTCTGATCCAGCTCTCTGCTAAGGCCTGGGAAAGCATTGGGAGATGCCCCAAGTCCTTGGGCCCTGGCACCCATGTGGGAGACCCGGAAGAAGCTTCTGGCTGCTGGCTTCAGATCGGCACATCCACAGCCGTCGCGGCCATCTGGGGAGTGAACCAGCAGATGGAAGACCTCTCTTTCTCTTTGCTTCTGCCTCTGCCTCTCTGTGACTCTGCTTTCCAAATAAATAAATACATCTTTTTGAAAAATAAATAAATAAATATTTTTGAAAAATAAATAAATCTTTTTAAAAAAGATTTATTTGAAAGTCAGAGTTACAGAGAGAGGGAGAGACAGAGAGATCTTCCATCTGCTGGTTCACTTCCCAAACAGCCACAACAGCCAGGGCTTTACCTGCTATACCACAACACTGGACCCCTTCACTGTCTCACAAAGCCTCAAGCTTACCCCGGCCCTGTTGGTGCTGAGGCCATACTGCCTTCCCTGGAGGTCCTCCCTGTCTGCCCTGCAGCTTCGTTGGCACTCCCCACCCCCAGCTCTTCCTATCAACATCTACAGTCAGTGTGGTGCTGGTTCAAGGAGAGGCAAACAGGTCAATGGCATAGAATTATTAGTCTTGATATAAATCCTATTAGATGTATGAATTTAATTTATACTGGAAGAGACACCATCAGTCATGGAGTTAGAGAAGGATTGTCAATAAATGGAATAAGAATAATTGATGAGCTCCTTGAGAAGAAATCAATTTAGATAATCATCTCAGTCATCCCCAAATTAATTCCAGATCGGTTGATAGAGTAATTTTCTTAAAAACCTAGAAGAAATTGCAAGTAAATATTATTAAATCATTGCTATAAGGAGGATTGTCTTCTCCCAAGCTTAAATTTGGATGATGTTCATAAAAGGAAAAAATACAATAGATTTTTTTAAAAAATATGTTAAATTCTGCATATCAAAAAAGTAATTCAAATTAAAATATACTTTCAACTTAAAAACTATTGAGGCAAATACAGCTAGCAACGCCATAATATATCTACTATATAAAGTGCTAACATGGAGGATGTGCACCCAAATAAGGAAATGTAATTGGTTAACAAACATATGGACAAATGCACAACTTTACTTTCTACACTTAAATATGCATCCAATTAAAATAAGAGTAAAATTCAATCCTTTGTAGATTAAATCACACAAAATTAAAATCAATGAGGACACTTAATGAATTATATTATGGTTACCTATGCTTGATCATAACTTTTTCAAATTCATATTTCTGTTTTTAAAGTTTTAAAAATTTATTTGAAAGGCAGAGAAATAGAAAGAGAAGGAGACATACATACACGCACACACACAGAAAGGGAGGGGGAGCGAGAGAAATCTTCCATTTGCTGGTTGAGTCCTCAAATATCCACAAATACCCTCAAAAGATCCCTATGTCTTGGTCTGTCTGTCTGTCTCTGTCTCTCTCTCTCTC